ATGGATTGCCTCTTTATGTGATTTGATATTGACTGTTGTCTCCGAGCCATCAATAAGTTATTATATTTATTTATTTTATGTTTCCTTACTGTGTCCTAGCTTCTTGTTTTGTTTTGATATGCCCAAATGAGCTAGTTTGATTATTGGCACCTTGGAAGTTCTAGTGTCCTGTCACCAGGTGGTTAGATCTGTTACTAGGTATGTGAGCTCAGGAGTTCGCCCACTCCTCTTGTATGGATTCAGCTCAGGTGCCCAGGTAGATAGCCGCCAAGTGGATGGTATAGGCTCTCACTTACAGTCCTAGACGGGCATGGGTGATTGGTGTAGGCACAGGCACCTGGCTGCAGCAGGGCGACACACTCTGAGCAAGGCAGGGGGCTGACAGCCACCCCCAAGTGTCCAGGAGGAAGGCATGTCCCTGTTCTGTAGAGCCCATAGGTGGGTGGTTTTGCAGCTGGACTATGAGAACCTTATGCTGTTGGTTGTAAGGACTGGGGGGCACCACTTATTCATGGGCCCCTATCGCAGGTGGCTAGGTGGCGTGGGCGGAGCCACTAGTCCTCAGGCCTCTAATGTGGGTAGGTGAAGACCCTGCTTAATGGGCAGAGCAGTGTCAAATTCAAGAACCTGCCACTTCACAGCTGAAACAGTTGAAGTTAGAGTTCCAGTATATACCCTGCTGTACTGCGGTAATGAGGGCCTATGCTGTTGAGATGGGCCCACACAAGTCTCTGCAGGGGGAAAGACTCTGAAAGTCCATGGATCCCTTATGCCTGAGTCTAGGCAAAGAATTGTGCCTACTCTTGGTTCCTGGCTTAGGGGATCTGGCAATTTATTTTTTCCCATTTGTTAATTTGTTCACTCTCCACGGCAGGAAGAATGGCTCCGGGTGTGTGACGGATCCTACTTCTGGCCTAGAGGACTTGGCAATTGCTGAAGCCGGTCCAGGACCCAGTGCAGAGCAGGGGGCAGGGAGGTAAATGGGAGAGAGGTTTTTCCCTAAAGGAAGTGTTTTTGATCTACGCAGTAAGCCGTCCGCAAATATTTATCTTTCACCGATGCAGGCTGCTTCTCACTGGTTCTGGGTGGCCGTGTAGACACTGTGGTGCTGGGTCTCTCCCGGTGCGGAAAATGCGTCTCCCAAGCACCGCCGCTTGCCTGCCTCACCGCTCACCCACGAGCTGCTCAGGCCTGAAGGGTTCAGGCTCTTGCCGGGTCAGATCTGGCAACTCCTCACTGCTTCCGAACCGTCTCTTCCTCCCCCCTGCCACTCAGTCTGGTTCCTCAGCTCTGTCTTTGGTGTTCAGGGGTCCCAGACTGCCATATATAATCGAATCACTTGTTTTTTTTTTGGTCTTTGTTGTAAGAGGGTCCACTGGAAGCATCTGACTACTCCTCCATCTTGGCCCTGCCCCCCTAAGCTGGCATCTTTCACCTTAGCTTGTACCATCAGAACTGGGGTTCTAGTCAAGTTTGCTGCTGGTTTGCGTGCAATTGAAATAGAATTTCTAATCCATGGTAGCTGTTGTAAAAAGGTAAGAAGAGGAGTGGAAAATCCCTAGGTAAAAGCAAGAAAGATAGTTTTTATTTTATTCAGGGATGCATAGCTAGAGCACCAGGTCACAGGAGGGATAGGGATAGAGGGATGCATAGTTACAAGTTTTATTATGGAAAAGGTTGAACTAGCATTACTGTTTGATGGAAGTGAGACAGTGAGAGGCGGCAGCAGTGTCTCTAACAGCACTGTCTCCCTTACTGCATTATCAGAAAAGAAAGATAACCTGAGAATAGGCATCCATTATCTCTTTCTACAAAGGGATTAGTGTGGGTTGCAGGAAATTAATGGCTTTTGAGTTACCACAGAAATACTAATGAATGTCAGTGCCAGAGATGTAAAGCAGGTAAAATTGGCTTTTCTCTGCCTCTTTTCTCTTTTGGTTTGCTAGTTTAAGGTCTACATCTGTATTATTCTTTTTTCTATAGCCAGAATCAGAAATCATACCCTTTGGGAGTGTGATTTGTCTTCTTTAGGGAAATTAGTTTATAGCTGTCTTCAATGTGTGTCAGCAAAGAGATTGAGAAGCATCTCAGAAATAGAGTCTCAGCCAGGGAAGGGTGTGTGCTCCATTTTGCTTTGATATCATTTTCTTGTTTAATAAAAGTATCAGGAAGTCTCTCAGTGATAGTCTTTTATTTAAAATATTAAACTGTTATACATTGCAGCTAATCATCGATTAAAAATGGCAGGATCAGATAAAGTTGTGAAACAGAAGGGAAGGGAGAAAAGAAGAAGGGAAAGGAATTACACCTACTGTATGCTGAGCATTGGGCTGGAAGCTTTATTTCTAATAAGGTATTCAACAGGTATTTATTAAGCACCTACTGTGTACTATGTGTTGTGCAAATGGTTAATGCACTTGGCTGTTAACAGAAAGGGTAGAAGTTCGAGTCCACCCAGAGGTGCCTCGGGAGAAAGGCCTGGCGATCTACTTCTAAAAAATCAGCCATTAAAAATCCTATGGAACACGTTTCTACTCTGACACAGTCAGATTCTACCCAACAGCAACTGGTTTATGTACCATGCATTGCACTACATGCTGGCACACAAGATGTGATACAGGATGAAAAGAGAGCTCTCACCCTGCCCTCAGTGAAGCTTGCAGTATAATGGGGAAGAGAGTTTTTTTAAAAAAAAGTCAAAATTTATTTTATTTGTTCAGACATTTATATAAATTTTTATAATACAGCCTCGTAAGAGTCCATGATTGAGGAATAATATAGTTGGGATATCCGATAGGACCCAGGGTTATGTGTGTGTGTGTTGGGGGAGGGGTTCAGGATAAACTTTCTGGAAGAGGGGATAACTAAGTGAAGGATAAGCTGGTTGAAGCGGGTGGGGTGGGAGGAAGCACTGCAAACTGAGCGAACAATATAAGCACAGTCAGGCTCAGAGATGAGAGAGAACTGCCGTCTAAGCAGAGACCTAAGAAGCAAGGCTAGTTGGGTCAAGCCCAGCAAACTGGCTACTGGACAAACGGCTACGAACTGGCCTTTAGGTTAGAGCTCATGGGAGTGTCTGAGAAACGCTTCCGTTAGCTGCACTTAGAGCTTGTAGAAAGGAGTCAGAGAGACTAGGCAGGAGAGCATAGGCCAAATAATGCAGCAGCATATAGAGCATGTTCGAGTGTTTATGGGCAGGACACTTCATGTTCTGTCCTTTCCATTGACCGGCAAAGTGGCAGGATGAACACTCTGTCTCATGTACTTGGTGCTCCCATAGCATGTTTCCTAGAAAATAAGGAACCCAGGCAAAGTGCAGTTGGTTCCTGAACTCCTGTGGTAAAGCCAGTCACAATTATTCCAGCATTTCTGGTTTCCACAGAGACCTCTGCATGTCACATTGTTGATGCATTCCCTGTACTTACTCTTGCACTTATAATTCCACCCTAGTTCAGTTTTTCAGACCTAGATTTTCCCTAGGTACAAATTGCCAATTGGGTACCATCTTGGAATTTTACTCCTTCTACTTTGTTTAGTTTTAACCAGAACGATGTTGACCACTCATCTGTTTGGATTTTTGCACCTACCTTTTCATAGTTTAATTAATACTTTGCCTCTTCTTTTTTTTTTAATTTCCAGAACACAAGCAGACATTCCCAAACATTCTGAAGAAGGGTTACCTGGAGATTAGGAAGGACCATGACAGTTACTGGCAAAGCTGTTATGCAGAACTATCACCCTACAATTTATGCTTCTACAGCCTCGACAGCAGTGGGAACCAAAACCTCTACGCCACGTATCAGCTTTCACACTTCCAGAGCATATCTGTTTTGGGCAATCTTGAGGCCAGGATGGTCGATACCGTCCTGTATGACAACACTCAACTACAGCTAAAGGCAGAGTCACCATGGGAGGCTTTGGACTGGGGACAGAAGCTCTGGGAAGTTGTGCATGCTGCCGGTCCGGGTTATGTGGTGCGTCAGGATGAGCTGGCAAACTCACCAGGGCTTGGTCATAATGTTGACTATACACAGAATCATTGTTTACAGAAGAAATCCAGTGGGCTGCTGCCATCATCCCCTGTCTTGGATAGCCCCAAACAGTACCAAAACATCCTCAAATCAGGGACACTGTACAGGCTAACTGTCCAAAACAATTGGAAGGCGTTTACATTTGTGCTGAACGGAGCCTACCTTCTGGCTTTTCAGCCTGGCAAGCTAGATGAGGATCCCCTGCTGAGCTACAATGTGGATGTGTGTCTGGCTGTCCAGATGGACGATCTAGATGACTGTGACTCTTGCTTTCAAGTCATTTTTCCCCAAGATGTCCTCCGCCTCCGTGCTGAGACCCGGCAGAGGGCTCAGGAATGGATGGAGGCCCTGAAAACAGCTGCCAGTGCAGCGAGGAGTTCAGAGCAAAACCTGCAAGTCACACTGAGGAGCAAATCCAAGGATCAAATGGGTGGGCACGATGGCAGGAAGAATAAACGTCAGTCTGTGACCACCAGCTTCCTGAGCATTCTGACGACTTTGTCTTTGGAACGAGGACTCACTGCTCAGAGTTTCAAATGTGCAGGTATGAAGCAAGTTTTCAGCCTAAAGTTCATTAGAGAACAGTCTTGAATTCCACAATTCCCCCGCCCTTCACACCATTGGCCAGCCACAGTTACCTCCTGTTTATAAAGCATCTCTCCTCCAAGGAGCCTCCTCTGTTAAAACTAATTCATCCTCATGCCATCCTGGTGAAGTAACTAGAAGCCGATATGATATACTCACTGAATCAAATGACTTGGCCAAAGCATAACTGGACTAGAATTTAGGCTTCCTGAGTCAACTGTGATTCCATTCCCTCTGCCTTTTTGACCAAAGGTTGTTGTGAATATGGAAGCCACAGATTGTCCAGTAGAGACATTCTGGCCAACAGTAGACTGCTAACACTCTTTAGGCAAGGGAAATGTCTACTGACAGTAACTGTCATTGACTATAACCTTGTCAGATCCTGTTGAGGTAGTATCTAGAAAGTCAGCTTTGACAGATAACGGGGAGGTGGCTAAAAGCAGCGCTGGTGATGATTCAGCAGATGACCTCTGAGTCACAGGAGGCTGTGCCTCATCATGGGGGAGCACAGGCCTTCTGGAACTGCGTTGTAAGCGTGAGATGCAAAGCTGAGTTTAAGGCAGTATAATCTGTTATTTCTTAAAACCCTATCACTGCTTCTCTCCTCCACTCCCCATTCCTCCCTCCTTCACAAAAATAGTAAAATAAAAAGAAAGAAATAACCCTACTAAACCAAATCTATATATCTATTATAAACTAAATAAAATTATTTCGCTTTCACTAAACCCCACTGGAGCCCTGGTGGCACAGTGGTTAAGAGGTACGGCTGCTAATCAAAAGGTCAGCTACTAACCAAAAGGTCTGCAGTTTAAATCTACCATCTGCTCCTTGGAAACCCTATAGGGCAGTTCTACTCTGTCCAGTAGGGTCACAATGAGTTGGAATCGACTCGACGGCAGTGGGTTTGGTTTTTGGTTTTATAAACCCCACAGTTTGTGACAATAAATTTATCATGAAGGTAGCCTTAAATGGAAGCCTGATTTGGAAGATTTTAATTCGAGTCTATCTGATTTAAGTATGTTATATATAAATAAACAAGCAGCTTACCACCAGCCAAGACCAAACTTTAAGTTTTGTTCTTACTCCTGCATTGAAAGGCCGAGTAACCTTTCACCTATAGTGGTGACACCATGAAGACTCAGTCCTGTAGGTTAGTTATGATGATGGCCTTTTCTAATGTAAAAGAATTTACCTAGAGGGGATTGGTGAGTCATCCCTGCTTTGTCCCTAGGGGCCTCGGTGACTAGAAAGCAGAAACTTGTACAGTGGGGCTGTAGAGACCGGAACCCCTGAGCCAGTAAAGAAGCCAAGGTTATGTGCATATATCTGCAGGCAGGAAAGCCTGGTGTTAAGTGAGCCAGCTACTTTTGGAAAATGATTTTGAAAAAAGGAGACATTGGGTTTAGCACAGTTCTTTAGAAATTATTATTTCATTGTCTTATTATACTAGTGCATATATGATATTTCAAATTTTAGGCATTTAACAATAATTTACTAAGTGTTTACTCTGTGGGCATCCTAGAATTATGGGGCACTTCTGTGGCTTTAAGAGCCCTGGTGGCACAGTGATTAAGCACTTGACTGCCTACCTAAAGTTTGGCTATTCAAACCCACCAGCTGCTCCATGAGTGAAAGATGTGACAGTCTGCCTTGGAAACCCTATGGGCCGTTCTACTCTGTCCTATAGAGTCACAATGAGTCATAGTTGACTCAATGGCAACGGGTTTCATTTTTATTTTCTGTGGCTTTGGACTGCTGACTGCATCAACAAATCTGTCATGTCATTGTAATAAGGGGGAAGTGCTCAGCTTAGTTTCCAAAATGGCCTCCGGACACCCTTATAGCTCGGTAATGAAGTCACTCCTGAAGTTCACCCTTCGGCCAAAGATTAGACAGGCCCATAAAACAAAGGAAACTAAATGGGAACACTAGCCCAGGGGCAAGGATGAGAAGGCAGGAGGGGACAGGAAAGCTGATAATGAGGAACCCAAGGTGAGAAGGAGAAAGTGTTGACATGTCGTGGGGTTGGCAACCAGTGTCACAGAACAATATATGTGTTAATTGTTTAATGAGAAGCTAATTTGCTCTGTAAATCTTCATCTAAAGTACAATAAAAATAAATAAATAAAAAGAACAGCAAAATAGAGACTGGAGTGGTTAAATCAAGAAACTTTCTAGGAAAAGAGGGAAGTAAAGCTGCAGGTGTTACCCAAGGTTGTCACTTACTTGTCACCTAATTCATCTTCCTCTCAGAAGTTTGCTTGCTAAGGGAGTGTGCATTGCATCTTCCTCTCAGAAGTTTGCTTGCTAAGGGAGTGTGCATTGCCCATGTTCTGTACTATATCAGCAGCATCCCTAGCACTCGGAGGAAGAAGAAATGTGGGTTGAGGGTGGGTAGAGCAAGCCCACCACCTCCAGCAGCTGGAGAAATGAAAACAGGAAAAAGAAAAAGGTGAATAGAAAAGGCAGGGAGAAGGAAGACCAACAGAAAAGTAAGAAGAGGAAGAAGATTATGTAATAAGTGGAGATAGAACTTTCTGGTAGCTGCTTTAGATTCCATGTGATAGAATGGCTCCCTTTGCTATCTAAATTTGGTGCTCACTGAATTTAACAGGAGGATAGGTGGGGAGAGGTGATGGTAGGAATTCTAGGGAGTAGTGGTAGTGAAGTCTGAAAAGCTTTTGCTCTATTCAGCTCTTACTTTCATGTTTTAGTTTGGAATTCCAGTGAGGGACTTGAAAGTTTCTAATTTGGGCTGGGGGTGGGGTTGGGGGTGGGGATTCTAATTTGTAAAAGTGTGGCTGATTCCAAAGCAGAATAATTTCATTTCGCTTAAATGCCCTCTTTTCCATTGGAAAGTGCTATATTCAGTTGCTTTGTGATGCAGTGGTTTGCCAGGTTGCTTTTTATTTTCCTTTAACTGCACATGGAATACTGATTCCCTGTCTCAGGGAGGAATACGTTATCTCCTGTAGGGGGCAGAGCCTCAAAAGAAAAAGGCAAAACTTGTTAAGCAAACCTCTGAATGCTTTTTAAATTACTTGGGAGGCTGTTCATTATATCAAAGATTATTACAGTGGATGGAACTTTAGAAATTGATCTATGTGTCTCAGAAACACAGTTAATCTAAACCAGCTGCTTCTTTGTTTGGTACCTATGTCCCCTAACTTTGCATATTCATAAAAACACAAATTTGGCAGAAAAGCTGGTTGCATAGCTTGTGTACCTTCCAAAATGCCAAATAGTCCAATAAATTGTTTTTAGTTGAATTTTGGCTTTATCTATTAAGGGGAAGCTAATTCATAATATTTCATAGTATGCCTCTTTTCACTATAAGTTGTTATGTCCACTTAGTTCGTCCCCTTTAAATATTTTTGGATGAATAAACTTTTAAAAGTGGAAGATTGCACTGAGTAGTTCTTTATTATGATGTCATGAAGTTGCTATTCAGGGGAGCCACAAATGTTGGCTTTTAAATCTACAAAATAGTGCAATTGGCCTTATTTCACTAAATTCTTTCTGTAGGTAAAGAATTTTCTATATTCTTCTTTGAAAGTTGAAGAGCCTCTAAAGAGAAAATGGATAGTGACCATCCAAAAATGCATGAGGCTATGATTTTGAAAATATATGCCTATACATAACTGTATATTTCTTAACATGTGCTTAAACTTTTTATAGTTGTACGATAAAACCTGTGATAGCCTGCCGGAACCAATGGTACTAACTTGTTTTTCTGGGTCTCGCAAGTTTTCCGCCTTTGGCAGGGTGTAATCTAACCACTTTTCTATCACTCTCTACTGGTGGGAAATATCTTAGTTTTCCTTCTCTGACAGGTTTCTGCCTTACATAGGATCCAGCTTTAGCAGTTTTACTGTATTTGATTATGCGTGGTTTGTTCCATGGCTCCCTCTCCAGCTCCATGGGCCCCTGAAGAAGAGTCCCATTCAGAAAGCCCCAGCTACAAAACCCCAGCCACAGTAGGCTTCTTGTCTTCTTTGAACCCACCAAGATCATTCCTGCTGCTTAACACTTGCTGTCCTACTTCTTGAAAACATGTCTTTAAAAATTAAGCTCCTCCATTCATTCTAAAATTTATTGTGTGCCAAGTTTCTGATTAACCCATTGCTGTTGAGTCAATTCCGACTCATAGTGATCCTATAGGACACAGTGGAACTGCCCCATATTTTTCAAGGAGCAGCTGGTGGATTCAAATTGCCGACCTTTTGGTTAGCAGCCAAGCTCTTAACCACTGCGGCATCAGAGCCCCGGTTTCTGATTATGCACTGGAAACTTGGGTGCACCTAGAGAAGTCAATGGTACAGGGAAGCAGACTGGTCCCAACTCTCATGAAGCTTACAGTCTGCTAGGAAAGATAGACGGTAATCAAATGATTGCATAGATGAATGCAAAATGTGCATTTGTGACAAGAGCTACCGAAGTGAGGCCCCCATATCACATTAGAGAACTGTCAGAGGTAGTGCCAATTAGAACTGTATGAAATTGCTCATATTCAATCATTCTTGACCTACCAAAAAAAGACAGTTTCATAAAGTTGAACTTAATGTTTGACTCTGATGTCATGGAAGGTTCTTGAGCAGCAGAAGAATGCATGATGAGAGGGGTATTTCAGAACAGTTAATTTGGTGGTGTTTTACTACAGCTCCAGAGCCCTGGTGGAGCCCTGGTGGTGCAGTGGTTAAGAGCTATGGCTGCTAACTAAAAGGTTGACAGTTCAGATCCACCAGCTGTTCCTTGGAAACCCTATCGGGCAGTTCTACTCTGTCTTATTGGGTAGCTATGTGTCGGAATTGACTTGACAGCAGTGGGTTTTTTTGTTTAGAGCCCTGGTGGTGCAGTGGAAGAGCTGGGCTGCTAACCAAAAGGTTGGCAGTTCAAATCAACTCAATGGCAACGGATTTTAATACAGCTTTTCAGAAACACATCTGTAGCAGAAAATGA